CATTCAGAGGGACTTAGGCTGGAGGAAAGGGCTGACAGGAACCTCATGAAATTCCACAAGAAAAATGATGGACTTAACCCAGTGCCACAGTTTAAGCTGGGACTGACTGGCTGGGGAGCAGCTCTGCTGGATAGGAGCTGACCTCCTGCTGGAGAGCAAGCTGAGCATGGACCAGTGGAGCACCCTGGCAGCAATGAAAGCCAGCAGTATCCTGGACTGTATCAATGGTATTGTAACCAGTAGATCAAGGGAAGTGATTATTTCCCTTTTACTTGGCACTCATTAGACCATATCAGGAATACTGCATCTAATTTTGGGCCCCTCATTACAGGAAGGATATTTATAAACTTGAGCATGTCTAGAGGAGAGCCACCAAGATGGTCGGAGGCTGGAGCACGTGCCCTGTGAGGAGAGGCTGGGGAAGCTGGGCCTGCTCAGCCTAGGGAAGAGAGAGCTTCAGGAATACCTAACCTTCCAATAGCTATGAGGATGTTAGTAAGGCTCTTTATTAAGATGCATGGTGGGAGATTGAGGGGTGATAGGGGGTGATAAAGAGGAGGTTCTGACTGGATAAAAGAGAGAAAATGATTCACTATATTCAGTAGGAAAGCAATTATGCGTTAAAACAGTTTGCCCAGAGAGATGGTGCAGTCTTTGACCTTGGAGTTTTTCAAGACCCAACTGGATAAAGCCCGGAGTGACCAGGTCTGAGCTCATAGCTGACTGCTTGGAGCAGGGGGTCAGACCGAGACACCCTAAGCTCCCTTTCCGCCTGAATGATTTATGATTCTATAGACTTACTATAAAGCACACACTACTCATATGTATTAGCTTAACACACTTTAACAATTAAGCATAATAGCCTAATTCACTTGCCTTAACTTCCCTAAACATTTCCCAATAGCCAGTTTTAAGGATTCTTCTGAGAATGCAGTTTGTCACCTTGCAGTAAACATGCCTTTACTGTTTTGTTTTCAGTTAGCTGAAAGTACACATAGACAACAGCATGTTGATGGGATAAAGGCAGTCTTCAAATCTATTGCTTAATCTGTCCTTCAGTGATGTTGTCTCAGCCTTATCAATTGGACATACAGCTATAAATCCATGATAATGTGATTGTGTGATAATATTGTCCACTTATGTTAGAAAGTAGGAAGGCAGTTTAGCAGAACTGGAGATAGTACCACCACATGCATAGTATGCCAGTAGTTTGCTGTAAAAATCACCCTTACTGAAAGGAGTCGCTGAGACAAACAAATAGAAAAGAGTCTTCTGAACAGAGTTATTTTATCCTTTGGAACACCTATTACAGTTTCTGCTGGGTAACAAAAGCAGTGTTGTAGCCATGATAATAAAAAAATATTTGCTCAAAAGCCTGCATTCCAAAGATGCTGAATTCCTCCAGTTCCCACTGATTTCAGTGAAGCTGAATCTGCTGCCTAAGTGATAATAAACCAACATTTCCTGATGTGTTGCTTGCCCACCTGAACACCTAAAGCTAGGTATGTGACTTCACCTAAAGTATTTTATCTAAAGAGCTATTCTTTTTTCTTATGGAGTTCTTTGGTATTTCACACACAACAGATATTGAAGCAAATGAGATTAGAAGATATTTAGAATCTCTTAATCTTACATTGTTTTTATTTAGTGTCTGTTGTGTGAAATATGGTATGAAATATACACACAAGGAAATTTAGACAAGGTAAATAAGATCTGTTTTCCTCAGGCATACAGGAGTGAATATAGAGTTTTGTCCATAGGTTATACCACTTGATAAGACATTGAAATATTGATTTTATAAACTACAATCCATTAAATTATTTTTGTAGAGTACCTGGCAATAATTCTTATTTGTTATTAACATATCTTTTCCATCTCAGGCATGGCCACAAGGTATTTTAAAAGGTCTCATTTTACAAAGAGATTACTACTTTTTTTTTAAATTGTATTCTTGGCAATGCAGATTTTGCAATTTGTCCAGGTTCTGTAATATTATGAAGTGTTTTGAACAGTGGCTGGCAGTAGTTTGATGTTTTTAGAAAGCAAACAAATGTCTTAGCTAGCTACAAAGGATTTTTTTTTTTTTAATATAGGCCATTTGCCATATGATCACTGAAATCCTTTCTTCTCTGCATAATTCTGAAATTCTAAATTCTTAAACTTTTTATTTTGGGCATTATTTAAGTCAAAGCAAAACTATTAAAGGCTTTTAGTCCTCTGAGGCTGTGCTTAATTCTTTATACATAAAGTTAATCTTCCTCTAGTTATAGGCAAAAATATTCATTGCATCAGAAGCAGAGGAACTTGTTCCACTATAAAAATTCATGCATTTTTTACTTCAATAGGATTTCAGTTTTAACATACAAAAGAGATTCTTAAGCAGATTCTTAACTCATGCCTTATTTTGAATGTCTGATTTTTGCTTGTTTTTGTTTTGCCAGTGGTGCTACTGAATCTCGCTTTAGCTGTGTTTATTTGATCAATGTCCAAGCAGAGAAGAAATATAGTTCAGACCAACTAGTTCAGTTTTTCAGCCTTATTCTGTTGAGGCGGGATTCATCAGGACAGCAAGATGGTTGGTGATGAAGAGCTCTCCACATCCAGCATTGAGCGGTAGAACTGATAAGTCATCCAATAATTGAAAATGCCATCTCTGAGTTCAAATTCAGTCTTGATACAAAAGAGGCAGAACTATTAATTTCAGTAAAGTTGCATTCAAAAATACGAGGCTGAGTTCAGTTCCTCTTTCAGGGCTTGTAAATGAGCGTACGAAAGGTATCACAGACTTTACATGGAACATTGCATCGAGCATGCCTGCCTGTTAGTCTTAAGCCTGCTAATCTTTTATCTAAGATTTTTTTATGCTGCACGTGTTACCATAGCATTTGGCATCCTAATATGTGAAATCATCAGAGGGTTGCAGGGCATATGTGAGAAGCTGTTATAATTTAAACCGCTATTTCTTCAGTTAAGTTTTTAAGATCTGCAAAGGGCCGTAAAAGTTGCATTGCCAAGTACTGCAGCTTGTGACTGGGTGCCTGCCCTGCCAAGGAAATCCTAATGTTGAGCTAAGTGCTGATGAAGTGTATGGGGAGAAGGAGGCACTTAGGAGTGCTCAGCAAGCAGCTGCTTAGTGGCCAACAGGGAGCTGTAACAAGAAGGAGGAACCACACCTCTCTTATGAAGGGTATTGATGCCTTCCTACTAGTTCCACTCCCAAGGCTGGATTGACTCTTCTCACAAAAAAACAAAAACAAAAACAAAAACAAACAGAGAGCACATGCTGTTATAGCAGTGATTAGATAACTTGCTCGGGAGCGCAGTTTTTGACTCTCCACGGTGCCTGGTGCAGAGCTGGAACTCATACTCTGACATTTGAATTCAAACTGGAACAGGCCACTGGCTATTTTATATTTTATTTTATATCAGTATTGTTTAGCCAGCATTGCTGCTGGCTATTTTAAGGGAATGTCTCTAAATTTTTGTTGTTGAATTATTCTGATTTGTTTAAACACCTCTGAAAGCAGCGAATTGCAATAGTTTCTCTCATATGCTCTAGTCACTAGTTGGTGGGCACTGCCCTAGGATAAAGGAGCTGTAGATTTAAGTTCAAGCATAAAATTGAGCTGGACGGGGATTTGAAATTGGAAGGAGATAGGAGCACAAGCGCACACAGATATCCTCTCCCCTTCTTTGACTGGTTTTTAGGTTTAGGCATGGTTTGAGATCTCCAAAGAATTTTCTGAGACCACAGTCAAGAAAAGAAAGTGAATGCTTTGTTGGAGAGTCCTGTGGGAGTTTAGACATTAGCTAAAGGGTATCAGCAGTGTGGCTGTATAAGGACTGAGGCAGGTGTATCTATGTCAGTAGTCAAATTGTTTTTGTCACAAAGAGGTTAGGAAATTCTCAATTGCTTTTTGAATTACAAATTATAATGCAATAGCCATCTGATAACTTGGAATTTCTTTTGCAGTTACCTATAGCAAAGATCTTTAAAATTCTCTTCATAAAAGCTGTATCTTAAAAATGGTGTGTTTTTAAACAGCAGATTTGCTCGCCAATCATAAACTCATATAAATTTAAATTTCAGCCAGGAAGTCCTAATAAAAGTAAAAATGGGTAATTTTAGCTCAAAACAGTAGTAATCTAAAAGATCTAAAATTTCATGATGAGCAAAGTTGTGGACAAAATTCTCAATAAAAACATATGCAATTTATGCTAATTCTGAGAGTGTAGGTTGGGTGTGCAAGATGAAAATTAGCTGAGTGAAGATACCTAGTATTTTGAGTAAAGAGTAGTGTTAATTGCTGTTATTAATGTATGGTTGAAGACTTCCCAGCAGCTTTGGATTTTAGGTTTTTTAAAGTTGTAATGGGAAAAGAGATGAGGCTTGTGGAGAGAGGTTGTGGTTTTAATCAGACCCACTCTTATAGACAGGATTTTGGCCTCAAAAGCCTTCTCATTTCATGAAAAAACTTTAAGGAAGCACAGTGCTGATACAAGAAAAAGGGGAGGAGCAGCTCCGAACATCAAAGATCGCAAGGGCAAGTACAAACAAGTACAAAACATTAGTTAAAAACGTTATGCACAGAATTGGAACCATTTAAATTAAAAAAAAAAAAGAAAGAGAAGACAAATTAACACATGTGCAACACAAAAGAGAAATCAAAATGATATTTAAGCAAATCTTTGTCCTCCAGGTGAAGGTTTGGTTGAGTCAGTCGTATACCTTCCACCACAGTAATGCCTCCTAGTGATGGGTTGATGGAATTGGTTTTTCTTTTGGAAAAAGAATATTTATTTATTCATTTTATATGAGATACAGGGAATCGTGTTTTCGTAATCACACATATGCCAAATGAGCATAGGCTAGGACATCAAGCGCTAGCCAGCGAGACTATGTTTGAGAAATCAAATTGCAGGGGAATGATCCAGGGTTGAAAAGCTCATGCCGCGGGGTTAAAGCTGTGAACGTCTCCCCCTTGGTGATATTCACACAGGAATCAAGGGAAATGTGTAGAAGGCATGGTGGAAATCTTTGACATGCTGCTGGCTACTGCCGCTCGGTTCCGCATGATGAATCTTCAGGGGGAGGAATTTGTGTGCCTTAAGTCCATCATCCTGCTCAATTCTGGTAAGTGGTGCACTTTGCTCTCGCTTGAGTAATTGCTCTTGCTTCTGCGTGCGGTTTTAATGCTGATTGTTATCACTGAACGATGTTTTCATTTTGAAACAGCAGCAATTGAAAGGGAACTATCAACGTAGATACCACGTAGAACCGCCAGGCAGGAATAAAGCAGGGTAAACTTGTTCAGTGACAAACTTAGCAGCCAGTGATTTAATGGAAAGAGGAGTTGATATACAGAGTGCAGCAGAGAGACAGGATGATTTTTTTTTCCCCCCACTGTTTTGAACTAGGTACTGGGAGGTCATAACAAAGTGTGGGCTAGGAGATACTGAAGTAGCTGGAGCCCCACTTATGGCATCCAAAAGCAATGCCTAATTATAAACGAGAGCCTATGCTTTCCTTTTTTAGTAATGGCAAAATAAAGGAAAATGGTGGCAAAGAGGTGGCTGACTTTAGCAAAACTGATATAAAGATCATGGATTACATTATAGTAAAACACAGACCTCTAAACTTGATTTAATTATTTTACTTTTATAATTGATGAATTGAAGTAAGTATTTTTAGGATGTTAGCTTCATTCTAAATAACCTTCAAAAATAGGTGACTGGATAAAAAAAGATAAAAATAAATACATATTTATATAAAGATATATATATAAATTATGTAAAGATATTTATTTATATAAAGATAGACGTAAGTGACTAGATAACCAGTTTAGGTGTGGATATCACAGATATCTACAATTAGCTGAGATGAATTCTGCATCACATGATCGAAATAAGCAAATGAAAGTTGTGGAGTGTGGCAGAAAATACTTCCTGTTGCACACAGGAGGGTTTTTTTCTCTGTTTAAAATGACAAAAAACTCCAGACAATTTCCATTTAAATGCAGAATTGAAGCTCACAGTGTTCTCGTGACAATGATAGATATCTAAAACAATAATGTAGGCACCAAAGTCGAAATTTTAGACCGAATTTAGTCAAAATTTAGGTCTCTGCTAAGCTGCTACCTAATGACTAGAGTTGCCAAAATTTAATGACACTCCCTGAAGGCTCACCCACTTACTCTCCGCTTTTCCTGCTGGGTCTAAGCTCATAGATGGTATTAACCTCTGCAAGAAACACATGTGGAGGGCTACGTGTCTTTTCTGTCTGGTAGTCTAACAAACAGCGCACTTTCCCAAGTTGTATGAAATCTGAGTTCAGCTAATTCTCACCAAAGGCTGTTTCTAAACACACCAGACATTGCCTTATTAACCTGGCACTAATTCCTTTATAGACACTAATTCCTCTATGGATAAGAGATATTAACATGGTTCAGGTTTTGTTGTGATTGCTACTAATTACCAAGGAGTGACATCTGAGACAAGCACCTCGCATATTTGAAGGGTGGGTGCCAAAGTATGGTAACTGTAATTAAATATTATTATTAAATAAATAAATATTATTAAGCATAACATTTTATTTTCCTTTCATAATCTTGATAATTATAACACAGTATTTTCTAGTTCATTGTGAAAAGTGATGCTCCTCCAGATTTTAGCTAATATGTTCAAATGTAATAATCCTCTTAAATAAATCTAGAATGTGTAATTGATTTATAAAAATGTCGAATTAAAGTTAGAACATAAAAAGAATTAGAAGTTTGAATGAAATGTGCTGAAGGTTCTTGTCTTGAATTTGAAGTCATTGACCCAAACTGTTAAGAGTTTTTGTGCCACTGCTGTATTTAGTATTGATCTGGAAAACTAAATTTGTTATTCAGGCGATGCCCTGCCAGACATTGCCCTCTATATTTATAAGCACATCTCACTTTCATTAATGGGATTTTTGTTTCAAGATTCCTCTGAGGAAAAATTGTGAAAAAAAATATAGCAAGTGAAGTCGATGGAACCTCGATAATCAGAAGCAGATTTGCTTCTGCACATAAAAGAGATGAGCCCACTGGGTGAGGCTAGGACATATTAGCTCTTCACTCCTAGAGGGTTCAGTACCACACAGCAGCTATTTCAGATCAATGGTGTTGTGTGTGCTACAAGCTCAGAACTAAGTGATCTGATTTTGTGGGTTTTGTTGTTGTTTTTTTTTACATTAAATTAGTGTTTATAGCTGCTCAGAAGGTTGCATGTTTTTGCAAGAGTCTTGGTGGTGATAAGATGAGAAGGCATGGTTCAAGTAAAGCTGCTGCAGGTTCATGATGAAAGTAACTTACACCATTGTTATGCAAATCATCATGTTTTATTCTAGCTTATGTACTGCACTCATTGCAATATATCGGAGTACAGTGTAAACTAAACATACGTGTATGTATGTTCACAGAATGCATGTCTATATTGCTTGTAATTGCCTTTATGGATAAATGTAATCACTTTTCTATTTCAATTTTTGCATTCCTATAGCCTATGAGTTTTAGAAAGGTCAGAGGAGTTAATTACTGGGAATTGGGAATGTGGGCACAAGTTTCTGGCTGTCAGTTCCTTCAGATGCCCAAATTAAGAGGCCAGGCTGCATTACAGAGACAGCTAGATAGGATAATTTGGGTTATGTGTAATAGCTACATAACTCTTATTTGGCCGAGGTACTCTGAACTGTCCTCTGGAGATGCTTCTCTTCACAAACTGTAATTAGCCTCTCCTTTAGGTGCAGTGTTGGACACACAGGAAATATGAAGTGCTCTACAGTGCGCAGTGTACAGGATGTCTGAGGATAGCATGGGGTTTGTTCTGCCTGGGAAAGAGAAGGCTAAGGGGGGATTTAGTTGCAGTCCTCAGACAGCTAATGAGCAGGTTATAGAGAAGGCAGGGCCAGACTCTTCTCAGAGGTGCAGAGTGAAAGGACGAGCTATGACGGAGACAAACTGCAGCAAGGGAGATGCTGATTAGATGAACAGAAAAGGTTCTTCACAGAGAGAGAGGTTAAGCACTGGAACAGGTCAGCAAGAAAGACGGTAGGATCTCTGTCGTTGGAGATGGACAAAATTCAACTGGACGAAGCTTTGAGCAGCTTGATCTAACTCTGAAGTGAGTGCTGGTTGAGCAGGCGGTTGAACTAGATGATCTCTAGACCCCCCCCTTCAAACTTAAATTTTACTCTGTGATTAGATACACAAATAAACATATATCTTGTACTAAAGAAACAGCAGAAAAACACACAGTGAATTTTTGGACTCTCAGTTGTCTACATTGTATGTGCATCATTGCATGTATTGTATGCAAGTTGCCCTTCAAAGCTGCAGCAATAAACCTTTCAACTGAAAAACAAAATTGCATTCTTGAAAAACAGATTTAGCTCAGTAGTAGAATGCTGTTTCTTAACACTGGAAAACAAGTACTAGAAACACGGCAGGGCAACATGATGCCAGACCTTTACTTTTTGAATAGCCCTGAGAAGAAGAGTGATGCTATGTGGCAAAGCAACGAGCTTTCATTTTGGAGTTGAAACTGTAGGTTGCTTCTACCTTAGCAGCTAATTCACCTAACTGAGTCCCTAGAGATGGAAAGATTTAGTGGATTTCATGCATCCTGCAGACCTCTTGATGCATCATTTCTGAGGGGCTGGAGGGGCTGGAGCACCTCTCCTATGAAGAAAGACTGCAAGAGCTGGGCCTGTTCAGCCTGGAGAAGAGAAGATTGAGAGGGGATCTCATCAACGTGTACAAGTATCTGAAGGAGGAGTGTCAAGAGGATGAGGCCAGTCTCTTCTCCGTGGTGCCCAGCAACAGGACAAGAGGCAACGGGCACAAACTGAACCACGGGAAGTTCCATCTGAACCTGAGAAAAAACTTCTTGACTGTGAGGGTGGCAGAGCATTGGAACAGGTTGCCCAGAGAGGTACTGGAGTCTCCTTCGCTGGAGATATTCAAAAGACATCTGGACCCATTTCTGGGCAATGTGCTCTAGGTGACCCTGCCTGAGCAGTGGGGTTGGACTAGATGATCTCCAGAGGTCCCTTCCAACCTAACGATTCTGTGATTCTGTGATTTCATGTGTCTATTGTTTGTTGCTCTTTTCTCTTGATTTTTCCAACTCCTTTTAAATTGTGCTTCTAATTTATTTCTTCTTTTTGGAGGCTGGAGGACTACACAAGTGTGTGGTCCAGAGCTGAATGTACTGAGAGCTCAGCCTGGGTTGCTATAGCTGGAGAAGCATAGGAGTGGGGGCATGGTGGAAGGGAATGAAGAGTCAAGGGTATTGCTTGGTGGGAATGAACACTGAGATGCTTTAAACTGGGGGTTGTTTCAACAGAATAGATGAAGAGGGCTTTTTCCCCTCCAGTAACATCCAAAAAGTCCTTTATCGCTGTATGCCAGCACTTGGCACAGTAACACTGCAGTCCCTGAGGGAATCTGTTCTGTGCATAACTTTGTGTTGCAGACACAGGGAGGTAGGAACTTGCTTGCAGGGTGGTGCTTTTTCCAGTCTCTCTCCTACAATATTTTACGATACTGACGTACTATATGGAGTTGGAAAACAACATGGTAGCTGTTCAATTTAGGTTTTCTTTCTGCTTCAGAGCTTGGAAAGACCTCTGAGGCTGTTAAATTTCACTTTGCTAGGACAGTTTTTATGCACTCTTGTTCCAAATCTCTATTTGTGTGCGAGTGTGTGCCTGTGTGATGGATAGCTGGTATTTCTTTTGGGGAAATTTGAGGTCATTGGCCTGGGGCAGGAGCAATCACCTGGGGCAGAAATGAGAAGCAACAGTGATTTTTCTTGGCTGTTGTTATAGACTGGCAATTGCCTGAAGTCACTACATTTTTTTTGAGTGCTTTCTTGATTTATAATTTTTAATAGCTTTTGGACTAGACCTAAGGGAGAAACAATTCCTCTTGACAGGATTTTTTTCTTTGCTGGTTTCAAAGCTATGAAACTAAGGGGTGTTGCTGCAAGAGCACCCTGGCATTCTGTGTCCTGGAAACACTATGGAATTATGAGAATAATGTTTCCCTCTGATGAATTATATTTTATCAGTCATATTTAAGAAGTTGCCCCTACAGGAGGCTACTAAGCTATAATGCCTGGTATTGTCTGTAGACATATGTGAGGATGGTTAAGAGTCATTCAGCTCACAGAAGCCTAAAGAATTGTTTCTTTTTGGGGAATTTATTTCAGTTAAAAAATAATAATAAAAAGCTGTATGAGAAAAGAGGTCATTGTGCTATTGCTGTTCTTCTATGTCAGATTTGAAGCAATATTCTAGTATGTGGAAACTACCAAAATTAAGAGCTCTGACTGATGGTTTTCAGAGGCTGTGCTGCATGTCAGCTATCCTTTTTTTAATAGTCTTGATCTCTCCCTCTCTCTTCCTGTCTCTATCTCCCTTTGTTTGTTTTTTTTTTTCCAAACAAAGTGGAATAGGTTTGTGTTTTTTCTTGGCTCACATCTGGATGTTCTCAGTACTACTGACCATTGGCTTCACAGTTATGAGTCTGATGTTTCAGTGAGCTACCTCAACTGCCTGGGTTCGCATCATGGGGCTGGAGGTCTTCTGATATTCGGCGTCCCATTCTTTTTGTTTGAATCTAACAGTCTAGACAATTCATATCCTTACTGGTCTTGAAGACCAGCTTCCTGTTACTGCCAGGCTACCAACTGAGTCATTCTCTGCTTTATATGGAAATGCTTGATACTTTGCCTTCTCACAGAATTCCAGTTAGGTTATTCTTCTTGCTCCCCCTTCCCCTTCCCCCTTCCCACCCTCCCCGCCCCCCCAAAGAAGAAGAAACTGGGGAACTTAAGAAACCAATATGAACCAGTATGAAGCACAATTTAGGAGACCAACTGGCTATTCATGTTTGCAGTCTGGATATTAAGGTACCCAAAATACGCTCAAGTCATTTGGTCAGTGGTTAACAGCAGTCTTTATTCACTCTCCTCTATCCACTGCATTCACATTGGCTATGTGTTGTCTTCCAGAAAAAAGTCATGACAAAAAAGTGCAAAATAGTTCAGATTTTTCTGTTTGGAAAGCTGATGTGCTTCACATACCCAAGAGTTTATACCAGAGGAAGCTTTTGTATTTGGGTTAGAGCACTTTCTATAAGATACAGAAGGGGTGTTGGGTGGTGAGTTTGAAGGCATTTTCATCTCTGGAAAAAATTTCTTTCCAGTCCAAAAATTCTAGCTGTTCACTTTCAGGAGACAATATGACTGTAGTTACATTGTTTGCTGTGGACATGGCTTTTAAAGGAGAATCAGGTTTGCAGGGGAAGGAGTGCACCTTACAAGGTTGTTGTTTGGTTGGTTTGATCTTACCTGGTTTGGAGGTTCCTTTTGAGGTGAGTGTGGCTAAATAAAAACCAATGTTGTTTACACAGTAAACTGTACATACTGCTGATCGCCTGGGCTGGGCCAGTAAGTACTGCAGAGCTCTGGAGAAGGAACAGTGTCTCCTCAAGTTTTTGGAGACAAGAGATGGAGCGAGAGGAATGCACTCTGCAGTTGGGTGTAGCTCTTGGGTGCACGAGTCCCCCATCACCAAGAGCAGCTGGCTTAGGCTGTGGAACAGAGCCAGGTTCGGAAGAGGCGCCTTCTTCCTCTTCCTTCTTCGCCCATGGTGGCCAAAGCCAAGCTCTGGGGCAGGACGAAAGTTTTCTCAGGGCAAGGGTTGTATTCTGTATGTGTCTGTGAAGCTTTTGGTTTCCATATTCTCCTCCTCAAATGGACTGATTTATTCTGCGTACAGGCTCTTGGAGAATGCCTCTATTTCCCAGGAGCCCTGTTTGGGAGATCTGGTTTGTTTGCGCTTTCCCAGTGCATCTCAGCGCTCTGTGGTGACTCTCCCCACATCCCTCCCAGCTGCTAGGAGATAAGAAGAAGCATATATGCAAGCGTGCAGGCCATGCTGCCAGGCTACGGTGCAGGGTGAGCTGCCACACATCTGGCAGGCCTGGCTCCCTGATTATTCCTGTCAACAACTGGGTTGGCGAGTGCTGTGGATCGTTCCTGTCTCATGCAGCCAGACTTGCCTCTCACCAAAGCAGGTTATGAAGGGAGAAGAGGACAGAGGGGAAGGGAAAGGAAGGTTGGCACACAGCCGGGTCCTGCAGTTTAACACAGCCAAAGAAGCCAGCCACAAGGCATACCTTGAGCAAGTCTGACTCTATCAAAGTAATTTTTGTCTGTGGTTTGTTTGTTTTCTTTTTCCTTCCTGCTCCAGGTGTGTACACTTTTCTTTCCAGCACCTTGAAATCTCTGGAAGAGAGAGACTATATTCACCGTGTTCTGGACAAAATCACAGATACTCTGATACACTTAATGGCTAAGTCAGGTCTTTCTCTGCAGCAACAACACAGACGACTGGCTCAGCTCCTGCTCATCCTCTCGCACATCAGGCACATGAGGTGAGAGCAAGCGCACGGCCAGCCCTGCTGCCCTGTAGGGGTGCAAGGGAGGTTTCACAGGCACACAAAGGCACACGCTGAATAGCACTTTCTTGCACATAGAGCTGTAACAAAAAACCAAAAAAAGTCGATGTTTACTTTCTATAAAGACATATGGAACTTGTGTGCAAAATAGTATGCTGGATTACTGTGTGGAAGGAGTAAAATTCCCCCCATTTGCTTCTTCTACTTTTCCTTTGTTTCTTCAATGGTGCCATAAGCAGTATCTACTTTTAACGATATATGTTTCTTCTTACTCTGTTTGAAGAGCACTGCATAGATGATGATAATGTAACAGTAATCTAGTTCTACAAACTTAGTTTCCTGCAAGATAAGGTTTAATAAATCTATTTCTTTTATATAGCCACTTTTCACAAGTGGCTTGATTGCAAAATACTTTAAAAATGAGATTAGTATCATTATTGATATTTTATGGATGAAGCTAAAATGCAGCTCTTCTGAATCCTAGTCTAGAGCGCTATGCCCTTTGCTAATTGGAGATGAAGTGCTTGAGGCAATCTATTTGCTGATAGTTTCAGTAGTGATTCTTGCAAACCTAATTACCCCTTAAGGTAGCCACTCAGTAGCTGCGTGTTAGTAATATGACAAGCCTATGCAAAGAGACAGTATAGATTTTATTCTTTTAAAGCAAAAAAATGTTGTTACACAGATTTTAATTTTCATTAGCTCGGTAATAAAATCAAAATAGTGCTACGCACCACATCACAGCTACTAATGCTGAAAATATAGATTTTACATCCTAGGCTGATACAGATCTTCAGGAAAAAGCCAAGCTGTGTGAATGTTTCATGGGGGGCAAGGGTGGACTTCCTTTGTCTGCATTTTAATCCATCCTTTTTTTTTTTCTCTGTCTTTCTTAAGAATGTGTACAATTAAGGAAGTTCCAGATGCACAGTAAAGTTAATTATTTTTTCTGTAGTTTTGGAAATGGATATTGCTACAAGGGAGCATTTGCTAACAAATTGACTGAGGTTATTTTCTAGGAAAAAAGCCAATATTTTGGATTTCATTATGGGAAAGCCCAAATTCATCCCACCCACATCATCAAAGTGCCTAAATTAGGAGTTCATTTGCTCTAAGTTGCCTTTTAGGAAAAGGAGAGCAAAAGAACCACCCATAGAAAGCAGATCTGCTCATGGGCCGGCTGAATTGTTCTTTTAAGATGCCTTCTTCTAACTGTAAAAAGAGCCTAGAGCAACTGCACTATTAAGTTAGCTATTGCATTTTGTATAAGGTGGAATATATATGAACCTAACTGCTATTAGCTGATAACTTTTCCATAGCACATTTAGAATGTAATCTCTCTCTTCGTCAAAACCCACAGCAACAAAGGAATGGAGCACCTGTACAATATGAAATGCAAAAACGTAGTTCCCCTCTATGATCTCTTGCTGGAGATGCTGGATGCTCACCGACTGCATGCCCCGGCAGCCAGGAGCGCTGCGCCGATGGAAGAGGAGAACCGGAGCCAGCTGACAACTGCATCGGCTTCATCGCATTCCTTGCAGTCTTTTTATATGAACAACAGAGAAGAGGAGAATATGCAGAATACAATATAAAAAGCATCAGCTTATGTGATGGTATGAGAAACCCAGCAGCATACTACCTATAGTTCATGCTTCATTTCAGCTATAATGCCACCTATGTAAACACTCCAATGACATCGGTCACCTGTATTTTCCATTTGAGTGTTTGTCAAGCGCTTGCCTAAATTGATTGTTCATCCTAAATGGAAGACATTTCGTTGCTATGGACAACCAGCAAGGACTGTCAGGCTAACTTAATTTGAAATTTGCAGTGTTTTTATTTACTTTTGCATGTAAGTTGGGTAAGTCCTAATCTAAACTTAAACATTCATTCTACCATAAATTAATAGGCCATACCACCAATGCATATGGGTAACTGCATAGTGGTAGCCTTTGTTGGTATCCATCCCAAATTCTGAGCCCATTTAATCCTTTACTTGCTTGAAACTTTGAAACTGTTTGGTCGAGATCCCAGATGAATCAGAATCCCAGCAAGGGATGCTGGAAAGCTGACTGTCATCTTAGCGTGCTGTAGTGAAACTCCACTGCTAGTGATCGCCTTGTGAAAGTACTGAGATAGTTTAGGTAGATTCCCGCCTCTCTTCTTCCTACAGTAGAAAAGAAGCCCTATCTGTGGAAAATACGCTTTCTTTTACCTTAGTAGCTTACGTCAGCAGATGATTCCCTTTCAAGGTCATACTGACCAAGCTTTCAGATCCTCTTACTAGACCTTCCATCCAAATTGTGTTGTGTGCACCCCATGTTGTCTGATCCTATAGAGCTAAATCATTCTGTTGCTTTGTAGCATGTGTATGAAGGACAACACGGCAAACAGTGATAACAGACAATTGCTCTTAAATCAGACCAAATGATTACAAAAAACACCAGGTCTTTTAAAAAAAGAAATTTACACACATATACATGATCTAGCACTATTTTATGAAAAAACTTCCCCCTTTCCTTTCCTTTCCTTTGTTGCCCTAACAGCTCGGGGGCCAGAATGCCAGTATGAGGTTGGCTGGGTGGGACTGTCTCATTCTACTTGTCAGAGTCTTGCCTACCCAGGTACAGGAGAGTTGGCGTCACAGCCAGAGCTGTAGGCTTTGCATTAGCTTTCCTTGCTTTGACTCTCATTGGGAAATTCACAAAATCACTGCTAAGATCCAGTTCATCTATGACACCAGAATTGGGCAAGGTGCTCAGCTGTAGATAAGATTCCAGGTCACTGCATGTACAGGGTGCAGGAAAGCGTTCCTAGCTTTCCCCAAGTATATGCGCAACTGCTTTCTGTAAGGGTTAGTCAGACTCTTCAGCTCAACCATAAATGCACAAAAGGTCTTCTGATATTAAGAGTTTCAGTAACACATGAAGGGCAGAAACTTTTAAAGAAAAAGACCAACCTATCCTTACTGGATGTTATCCAAAGAAGAAGCTGCTGCTGCTGTTTGACTGCCTCTGTGCTAGTAAATTAAACATTTCAGAGAATGATGCTGGGTACTGGAATGTGATTTTTATATATGCCAGAGCTGTTTTAAGAGATTAATGATAATTTTTTTCCTGTGCTATCTTGCACTTCCAATTTTCAGGAGCAGTTTGGGAGTTAGCACGGACCAGGGACTAGTTCCAATAGCCAGCTGGAAGTGACCACCCTGTCAGTAGGGAAGTTTAGTAGTGCGTATTATATAGGCTCATCCATTGCAGCTGGTCAAAGCGCCAGAGAAAGGTTTGGGGTATGCTTCATTTACTAGTGAAGTTGAAGTCTTTATGCTAGCTTGATTGGAATATCCTGCAGTAACTAAGTATAGGAAGTAGTGCGACTATTGCAGTGGGGTAGTGCCTATGTCTAATCACACCCACTGTTGCACCGGCGGTGTCTGTGTACAGTGAGATCGAGTTACATAGCAGGTGTGAAGGCAGAAGGGCATAGGATCTAGTTTGTGCTCCAAGGCAAGGATTCAGTTCTTAGTAAATGTACATAATGATGTCCATCACAGTTTTACATAAATATCTGAGCAATGAATAGATGCAGTTCAAAAATCTGCAGAGAAATGCTAGCTTTATAGTTGAAAAGATTCTTTAGCTAAGTGTCCAGGCCTAAATGTATGAAGAAGTCATTGTAAGTTAATAGGTCTTTTATTGATGCATATTATAATGTCTTTTTTTTTGAACATGCTGAAGGATTTGTCTTTTTAATGTATTCAGTAAGAGTGTGTGTGTGTGTGTGTGTGTGTGTGTGTGTGTAAAAATTTGGTACCTAAGGGCTTCTGGAGGCTTCTAAATGCCTTGCCACAAAATGCACACTTTGCTTTGTTTTGTAGCTCTTTTTCAAATGTGTTAGAAAAATCCTGAATGCCCTGAAATGAGTGCAGGTTAAGATCTGAACACAGGAATCGCTGTAGTTACATTTAAGTACTCACACCCTCATCATTCACTTGTAGCCCACTGTGTATTAGAGCTGCTCTTTAAATCTACTGTACCTGCAACTTGTGCGTTCGGTATAACAGAACACACAGAGCAAGCTTGTGGCTCATAAGCTGCACAGCAATTTGGTTTAAATAAATGCCTCCCTCTCCTACACCTCAGAAGAACTCATCATATCAATTCAAGTGCAAATTTGGCCGAAAGAAAAAAAAATTAGTTCAGGGAGAGCAATGCATAATAAAAGGGCCAGATTCTGGTGATATTTAGGTAAGTACCTGTATACTCTGCAAATTGTCCCAATGAAGCTGGAAAGCATGTTTGTGAAGGGGTGTAAAGCAGACAGCAGTGTGTCTTGGAACACTAGAAATAAATATCAGTTTCCAATTGTAATTATGAATGCTTTCCTAGGCTCAGCCCTTGCAGTGAAGTAACTGAGATCCAATCAATCCTTCCACACATATGGGAACAACAGTGAAAGGAGCCCAGGGAAAAAAAAAAAAAAAGTGATTTACAGTAATAAATCCTTTTACACCGGGGCAGTTTCAAAGCTCTGTCATTAATTTGTTCGTGATATTTTATTTGAAGCAGCACCTTAATGAATATATTAATCTTTGCATAGCTATCTTATAAAGATGATTGTCCACATATCAGACAGCTGAATGTAGCCATTCTATTGATTAAACAAAGTCTACGATACAAAACTGGCAACTTTCTTCATATGTAATTCTGAATTATGCTATCATGTACGCAGACATTTGTGCCTGACATTTGGTAATTGTTAATTTACAGGATGCTATTTTATGTATATATATATACTTTATATTTACAGCTGACAAACCAGTACTACCTGAATGCCTGGTGCTGGATATTAAAAAAAATATATAACATATAAAAAAAAAAAATTGAAAGAAAAATATTCAGGGCAGCTAATTATGCTTTTACCAAAACATTAATAGTGATGTCTGTGGACAGTACCTAATGAAAGAATCATTGTTTTATAATGTTTATACTTGGATTTTTAAAAAAAAGAAAAACCAAAAAAACCCTAGAAACATAGGCAATGTAATACCAGCATAAGCCAAACAGAAATAGACCAGATGAACTTGCTTTGCTTGTGAATATGGTTGTTATTCAATTATTATGAAAAGCTTGGGAGGCAGGAGAGGAGATAGCGTGAGGTATATGGTGTAGTGGTGTCTGGGTTTCCAACAATATGTGAAAGCTGCTCTGGTTTGTAGTGGTCCGAGCCATGTCTCGATCTTGCAGACTTCGTCTCAGGTAAAACTCCCAGTTAGGGCAGTAGGATTTGTACTGGGGTAAAATAATTTAATGAGAGTTTCTTGGTGTGTGTTTGTGGTAAATTTACCTTTATGTCTCAATGACATTTCTTGATTTTTTTTTTCTCCTTCTGTACACTGAAGGGTTTGATAATTTAAAAATATAATTAAAACAAACAAACAAAAAAAGGTGAACTGAGTTCCCAAGGATATTGCAAGGACTGTCAGCAGGTCACTGCACTTTGAGGAAAAAAAACCAAAAAACCCATCCTCCTCCCAAACAGGGTTTGTAACGAAGCCTGTATCCATGCCAGTTGTTGCTGATTGATTCCTAAAGAATTGTACCAAATGTTTAAAATAAAACAAACCACCAGCAAAGTAAAAATTCTGCCTTAATAGGTCTGAATCTTATCATAGTCGTTGGTAGGAACAGGGCAAGCCTGTGTTGTTTATGTAATAGCTTGCTTTAAAATGAGAATGCAGCCCAACCTAAAGCTAATGGGATTTTATATATAAGGTATTTGCAGCTGAACCAATGTGAAGTGCGTTTCTGAATCTGAATAAAGATAGCATTTACAATGCTATTTACAAAAGTAATATAGCTTTACAGACAGAACTTCAGCATATGTAAAAGAAAGAAGGGTCATATTGAAGACCATATCTTAATACAGACCAGTCTTTGTTGTTGCCACCTGCAACTATAGCGTGATCTCAAATTGATCTGAGAATTTTAAATTAGTATTTCCCAAATATTAATGACCTACCCTTTCTATTTGCAATTTCTTTTTCATCTTTCAAATGTAGATAGTCTTATATCCTGAAAGTCGTTTTCAAAGTGATTGTTGCCCTTAAGGGTACTCAGTTTTGCACTGTGTTTAAAAAAAGAAAAAAAAAGAAAAAAAGTTTTTTGCATTCAGATGTGCCTAAAAAAATGCATATGCTGCCATCTTGCAGATTAGTGTGCTCTGTACTCCTGTGTGCCTCTAATTAGAAGTCTGTTTCTTCAGAAAGTGCCCATCGGAGAATGAAGGGATAGACTGCTAGTCATGAGACTTACATTAACAAGCCACTTTATGTATCACCTTATTGTATATACTCTAAAGCTTTTGTGTGCACTACCTATTCTGTCAATGGAAAGTCCTTTCTTTGGTATAGGCTCAGCTGCCGTGATGTATTTGTTCAAAGTATTCTGTTTCTTCACTGATGCATATAAAATTATTGTCTTTCTTTTTTGTTTTGGTGAGGTTTTTTTTTCTTTGTTTTGCACCTAAAAAGTCCTTAAAAAGTCTAAATGAAAAACCTGGTAGGCTACCTGATTGGTGCAAGATTTTTATCCACTTATTTGATGTTGAAAATAAAGAATTAACCAGAGAAAATTGCTTCATTTGTTATCTTTTGCATAGTTTTAAAAAAAAACTTTCTCTATTCCTTGTTTTCCAGTAGCCAGCTCAGTGTTATGCTTTTTTTTTTTTTAAAGAGAAACAGAATGTGACAGCTCCTGTGTATCTAAGTGAAAACTGTTTCCTAATTATTTTCCTCTCCTTTCCTCCTGCAAAGCATCAGAGACTGGCCGTATCTGGAGTCAACAACGTGGCCAGTCTTGTCTCGAGTATGCCTAATGCACCTAGGAAGTCCCTAAGTACTGAGTTGTTCTGTTGTGACTTCCCTGTCCCTTCAGGGTTAAATTGACCACCACATCTCAGTTTGGAAAGAAAATTTTCCCCAGGTAGGGATGGAAGTCTTTCTCCATATTGTCAAGGCCCATCTCCGTGGGCTATTTGGATAACTGACCTAATAAACTTCTTTCCTTTTCAGTTATAGAAGGCACTAGTTCTCCTTCCTTGCCCCCTTGAACTATGACGTGTCTCATCATGTTTGAGTATTTTATGTGCTTTGCTTATTTTGGCTTGTAAAACAGATTTATGGGGAAGGGACAAATTATGTGAATTAAGCCTTCTGTAGTTGCCTGCCACTTACCATGAGTTCGCTAACATCAGGTAAAACAACGCTTCCTCTCCTCATGAAATCTCGTCCTCATTAAAAAACAAATGATGTGTCTTGAGTAAGTTGGTGGGGAGGAAACAGACATAAATTAAAGTTGCTTTTATTGATCTAGAAACACTTCGAACTTAACCCTGCCCTGTGAAGTAGTCTCAAATTTATATTGGGGTCTTTGAAAAGAATCAGAACAGTAATCTATAGAGTTTACATACATATATATGTACATCAATATATACATATCAGTAATACGGAGTATAACAGTCTTTATATTGACTTTTTTCATCCTTTTTTTTTTTTTGCCGTGCTGGTTCTCAGTAGAACTATTGGCTCCTAAGTTGTCTTTGCCTACAAGAATCTATACGTAAAAACTCTTTGTTTATAGGCAGTTTCTGACTGTACATAACTGATCAGGAAAAAATGGTAAGCAGGTCACCTTAAATCCAACCATTTTCTCAATGATTTTAGACAAGCCAGGCAATATACTTCACGTACGTGAAACCTCATGCTATAGCTTGCCAAACATGAAAGCAAATAACATATTTAGACTTTAAAAGAAAGTTAGGGATTGTTGGGATTTGTAAGTAAGTGTCTAGTAGAACCCAGCAAAGGTTCAGAATCATGTGACTGTTTTGCCACATACTTTGGTGATGCAGAGCTTGACTGAGAGTTGCCACTTTGGCTGCAAAGGGTGACCAAAGTGAGCATGTGCTCAAAATAATGAAGTTAGTTAGTTTCAATGCTGACTCAGAATCTGACAGCATTCAATGGCTATATACAATTTTCTATCCACCGGATCAAGTGAGTACTAAACCAAAAAACAAACACCGAAAGCCTGAGCATGCTCACATCTACCAACACTGCAACAATCCGAAGGGGCACGGCACTGCATGACACCCGCGGTTAGGTCGTCTTTTGCCTGTCTCTCTCCAGAGCCCAATGTGACCAATGATGTCCTCTGTGATGGGAGAAGGTGGCGGAGATGCTGTCTTGCTCAGTCCCAGTACAGGAGGAACCTGCCAGGAAAAGGGCAGCCAGCTGGGCATGTGTCTGCAGCCAGGACCCAGCTGGGGCTCGGCCTCATTCTCAAACTTAACGCCTGTTGCCTGAAGCCACTGGAGGAATGATATGGCAATAATGCACCATTCTGTTTTACTGCAGCACTCTTGCTGCTGAGACACTTGCCTCATCTTTGTGGGGCCCATCACGCTTGCTGTCCTCACTGCATGCACAAGCCCCTTGCAGAGCAGCTGCTTACGCCAGCTGCTGTTTCCATGAGGCAGCCCATGTATGTGCGCACAGCCATGTGCTGTGGGCTTCCTCCCCCAGCCTTGTTTCCTCACATGTGAGTGAGGCATATCTTGTTCCAGTGTATTGTTGTACTCTAAATAACTAATTAAAAAGGTGTGACGTAGTTAATGCATACATGAAAAATGTTTCTCACTGCTTTTACCTTTCTGTTAATTAAGGCAATCCCCTTGTTAACACAACGACAGAAGCTTCTTCAGCTGTCTTCTGCCCAGCCGTAGCTGTGCTACAACTTTGCATTCTTGGTCGGTGGGACACTCCCTCTTTAAAAGCCCAGTAGCTACTCTGCCTAGCTGCTCTACTACAGTCAACGAAAGCTGAGCAAGAAACAAAGAAAAGGAAAAAATAAAGTTCAAAGAAATTATACCATGCCATAACTGTAAAGAAGCTTATTCTACAAAATTAAATGATGTTGGATTTTTTTTTTTTCAGCCAGATACTGACACATTAAAAGCCCCATCTATTTCTTAGTTTGGATAAGTAATACATTTCTCTCCTCTGTACTGCAACTCTGTCTCCATCACCCAGGCAGTAAAGAAGAGATAGATTGAAATCCAGGCGTGCAAAACAAGTCTCACGTCATCATCCACATGCTCCCAGAGTAAGGAAACCCATGGAAAGCCACTGTGTGCAAGCTCTTCTCCTATGCCCAGCCAGGCTCCAATTACTATCATTCAGCATAACATCCTGCAGGTACAGAGGCCCAAATGTAAAGATGCTCATGAAGGCTTCCGGAAAATTGACCATCAAAATGATAACATTTAGCACTTATCTCAGCGAGGGCATGGCTAACTACCTCTCATGTCCCTGTTAGATCTGGATGTTGCAGTACTTAGACATTACCTTGCTAATGTCTTCATTTCTGCAGGTAGACGGTGATATAAAAATTTACCTCCTGCTGTCTTCCATTCCTACACCTTTGTGCATCCTTCCAGTGCATTACCACTTCACAAACAACTGAAAGTTGTGCAAGTGAAGACTGAATGTGCCTTCAGGATTTTGTTTTGACCAGATCTTACAACACACACTTGGGACTATGCTTTCTTCTAGTGCTTTTTCTTTCTTGCTCTCAGTTTCTGCACATCTATCTGCACCACAGCGCCCAAATTGTAACAGGATTTGAAATTGCAACCTTTTTTTTTTTTTTTTAAACCTACAGCTCAATGGTCAGACAACAGTTTGAAACAAAGTTATAAAGAGAAGAATACAAACACCGATCTCCCAGTTCTTGGACAAGCTTGGGAGCACTTACATAAATAAAAAAGTGCACACTGGTGGCTTTTCTTCCAGCTGTTTTCAAACCATCCTTTCTACAATGGAATGAAGAAAAACAATTGCAAAAGCAATAATAGCATCCTCTCAGGAATTACAAAGTGCCTGAAAATGCCAAGAGCCTGGCTTAAGCAGCCTCTGTGCAAATTACATCTGCATCTGCATCAACCCTGACACACAAGAGCTCAACAGCTCACCCCTCCTGCCCCAAGGGCACCTCTGAGTATATATGAAAAGTGGACAATATTTTCCTAAAGCCGTCTCCAAAAATTAAACTTCTCATTGCTTTACTCCAATCTCACTGTGGTCAAATCAATTTGGTATTTCTCAGTTCTTTAAACAAATTTTTACTGAGCCAGGCAATTTTGACCATTTCTATTTTTGAATAATATATTAAGCAGCACCAAACAATAAAAGCCACAGCTGTTCAGTTCCCATCTGCTTTTAGAGCAACCATTTCATAAAATTGAGATCCCTATCATTTAACTAGGGCTTAGTCTATGTATGGCAAGACTTGGATGCTTAAGTTTGCCGCTATTCATTTTCTTGTATCTTATGCCACAGATTTTTATCTACAGCTTTTGGGTAAGATAAATTAATTCATCAGCTCATTCCCATTTAATCCTTTATTATAGAATATATTAAAATATTCAAATGTTTTTATCATTCTTCAAAGAAGCACAACTGCTTCCAACGATAGATTTCATATCTATGCCTCGCCTAGGTCTAATTATGGCCAAATGGTAAAACAACAAGAAAATTCAGTTTGCTATACTGCATTTCACATCATGGCTGCCAGGGTTAAAAACTGCCAGCTGGTTCCTAGACTAGCCAGCTAATGTTAAGGCTACTGGACCAAATACTTGTTTATGGAAAGCTGTGAATGTAAAAGACACCTTCTTTCCCCCAAAAACAAAAGAAAGTGACCCTCCTCTCCACTCCCCACCTGCCTCAGCTTCCCTCCCACCCCTGCAACTTAGGCAACAACTGGTTTAGGTGAATTCTGCAGTCGCCCATCGCAGGAGTTGAACAATTATAAAATTGTTCAGTCAGGTCATCCATTTTAAGTACAACCCCTACCTCACTATGGCATTTCCTGTTCTTTCTCTTTCCACAATCCATTGCTTTAAACACCAGATAAAATATGAGAAGTGCAAATAAGTGATAAAAGTGATAAGATCCACGGTCCCTTTTTCTTCTTCCCTACCTTTCCCTTTCTATATTTGATTTTACTGTTTTTACTTCTCTTGCTTAAAATATGCATTTTTTTTTCTCCTTTACTCCGGTCTTATTTCTCAGAATCCTCCTACATTAGCTAGATCCAGATAGCATCTGCAGTTTGAAGATTGTGAGCAACCAGTTTCTGCTATGCCTTTGAACACGCACTCAGATGCACTGATGCTGATGAGCATGTTGAGAGATGCTATCAATTGTAAACAGATTTCTCAACCACGAGAAACCGCAAGACTCGGAGGGACAGGGATGACTTTTCATACTCCTATCCCAGCTGCTCTGCCCTGGTTCAATAGCCAGCTGCAGGAGAAAGTTGCAAGGAAGGAGAAGGCAAGACTGCACGTACCCAGAGGTCTTGTAGGGGAGCTGCAAAGGTGGCAAACCAGTGAAGACAGACTATTGATCTGTTGCAGAATGAAGCCATCACTGCTGGAAACAGGGGTGGGGATGGGTAAAGGGCATCATCAGACTTACAGCTATGAGGAATAAGGGCATGCACTATTTCTATTGACGTCAGAACCTCTGAACTCCTAACATTGACAAACAGCTCTAA